ACATTGGATCATCTCCCTTTTCCTGACTGGGATCCTGTTGCAGGTTTGTAGTTGGCAATGAAAGAGAGAGGAAGATTTTCTCTTTGTCCAGGTAATTTTTGAAGAAGCTTAAAGCATAAATCTCATGCAATTAGCATGCCAGCATATGTTAAAAACCTATGTAACTTAGTAAAACATCAGCAGCATGATCAAATTGTTTTAAGGGCACCTGAGGAAGAACAGGTGTGGTCACTCAGGAAAAGAAAGCTGAATTAAGTTCCTTAGTGGCTGTTGACTGGGAACTATAACCCTAAGGGTTATATTTTCTCCTGGACAGAAATCTGTAAGTTACTTAGAAATTCCAGAGTTTGAGCCTCATCAGTAGAGAGAGTAAGTCAAATAGTGATTCATCCCCCCTGGGGTAAACCTGTTAGACCATGTTCCAATGTGACACTGGAATTCATCCTTATCTCCTGTTGTCTAAATTTTGATCTTTTTTTGTTGTTGTTGTTTTCCCCCTAGCATATATTTTCCAGGGTTTGTATTTAGTCATCTTCTTTTGCCCCTGAAGGCTGAGGAAAAAAGAGGAAGTGGGCAGGAAAGCTTTTCCTTGATCAGTAATGTCAAAAGCTGGCCTTATACTCTGTGGCTTGGTGCTTATTCAAGGTGGACTTCTCTGAAAGGTGCTTCAGTGGGTTTCTAGGGGACCCTGCTCTGTGGATATGGCTGGTCTTCCCCTGATATGAGTGCTGAGTTTTGCTCTTGTTTATCTTGGTGCTCCGGTGTTTCAGAGGTCTCCTCTACCCAGTCACTATGTTGAGGTGTGAGTGCCTTATGACATGGCCGTCCCCAGGGTGGTCCTCTTCAGCAGTTTCTATGGCTCCGTGATAGCTTTCTCTTCTGTAGGGCCCACATCTGTTAACAAGAAACCCTCTTGTGCTCTGCTCTGCGCTTACAAACTCTGGGAAAACAGCCCAGTCCCAATAGAGAAGCAACACATTGTATCAGCCACCAAAGTGGCAGGATCCTAAGCCCCTCTCTTCTGCACACGAAGCCTCCTACATGGGCTGCAGACATGGGCCCACTGGGTGGCTTCAATAGAACACGTGGTCCTTTTGTACCTCTTCCTTCTTGAGTTGGTTTAAAAAAGGAGAGTCTTCAAGTCCTTCTCATTGGAGGGAAGATTGTTCCTAGTGCATCCCTTTCACCGCAGAAATTTTTCTTATGAATTCTCTCACAAAATTCTCCCATGTCTCTTATTTTTCTCCATTTAGAGCTTTGTCTCCTTGTTATCCCTTTCCTCCATTTAGATAAAACATGATTTATCATGATTTAAAGCTGATATTCTATTAAGTGCCTTTCAACATTTATTTTAAATGTATCATTTCTTAGTCTGACATCAATTCATCCTAATGTCTCAGATAAAACTTCCACTGTAACAGCCTGTGATTTTGGCTCAGGTGACATGAGGTGACTGAGAGGCACTACCTTGCAGGCATGCTGTACTCCAGTTTTTCCCAGAATGACTTTATCTGCTTATTTTTGGAGAACTATCAGTAACACACCAAAAATGAGGGCAGCTGTCTTGGGCCTTAAGTGTGGAGACAGGTGGGTGATGGGCAGGAGGAATTCAGGAGTCAGAGAAAGCCCAGGGCGGTGGGTAGCTGTGGAACGTCCTGTTCCATTTCCTGATCTGAAAGACACGTGAAATCAACTTTGATGCCTGCTCTCTCTTCCTTCCACGCACACGCCCTTTGTGTCTCTTCTGATTATAGGCATTCTCGGTATTTGGACTTACTATCACAGACTATAACATTCAGAGGGGAGAATTTAGGGCGCAGTACTACAGCAGCCTGTGGATTTCTCTCCATAATACCTTAGTTGAAGAGAGGAACTGTATCTTGCTTATTATTTTCCCTGAGCCCCTAACAGCTTGCCTCATGTGCAACCAGTAAGCCTTCAGCGAATGAATGATTGAGACAGAGAGGGAGGCGTGGAGACCGAGATTTCCCCAGCTCCTGCTTTCTAGAAAGAGTTTTGTCTCCTTGTTTATCCCTTTTAGAAGAGTTGGGGTGGAGAAAGAGAAAACTACACTTAACATTTGTTTGTAACAATCTTTCTTCAGTTAAAGTGGTTCCTCTTTCATCTGTGCCCTGTGAATGCATGTGTGGGAAGAAGTTATAAAATTATTTGGAAAAACATTGACAGATAATTGCATTGTATGAATATATACATATTCATAAATATATATTCTTTATTTAGAGCTATGTGTCATCATATCATGTGCCATATTTGTGCTTAGAATTCATTTGAAAAAGATGATGTCTAACTTTTATTATCCCAAAAACATGGGTGGCTTGCTTTTTTTGTTTGAGAGAATAATCCTTCCTTCTTGTCTTTGCTTTAGTATCCAAAATAAGCTTTTGAAGGTGCCCCCCCCCTTTTTATTTTTCTATTTTCTGTAATAAATGCCAAAAAAATCCCCCAGGTTTTTAAACAGGGGTAGACACTGTTATCCCTCTGGCTATTTTCTTCTCTTCCAGTGATTAGAGTTTACTGTTCTACAGCTCTTCAATAGGATTTTCCTGGAAATGGAGTTACATGTAAAAGTATTAACTTATGGCATTATGTACAGCATCAGGAAGGATAAAATATTATGAAGAGAGAGAAGCTGCATTATTTTGTTTAATAGGATTGGTGCAATAAATAGTCCCTAAAGAGCATGCTTCAGTTCCACTTGGTACATTCTTTCTAAATTTGCCATGAAATGTATTTTACTGATAAGAGTCTGCATTGTGATCCATTTCTCTAAAAGGCTGGTTAAGAGAGCCACACTATAAGACATTTCTACAGAGTCTTGTGGTACTTCACTGAACATAAGAATTTCCATTCTGATACTGGTGGGAACAAAACACATATCTTACCAGCTCATGTTTTGTGGCTCTCCTTCTCACTTGGAACATGAAATACTGAGCCTTACAAATCAACACTTTATGTACATTTATGTCTCAACAACATAGCTGCTTGTTTTCAGTAGGATACATAAACAAACGTAAAACTTTTCTAAGAAAATATTATGAAAAATTTTTGAAAAATATATCAATGAAAAAAATCATTGTAGCCCTCAAAAAATGGGACCTTTGCTTTTCTTTTAGACAGGAGAGATCAAATGGAACTGTTTATTGTTAGGTATATATCTCTTTCTGACTCTAGCACAGATTTTCCAAAGAGAAGTCAGGTATGAATTTTTACCAGTTTAGGATTAAATTCTTGACTTCAAATGGAAGGTCTCTTCCCCACAGTGGCTCTCAAAGTACTCACCTGGAAAATGGGGTTCAATTAGGTTCCACCTGCTCTGATCTCTGCTTATAAGGCTGAGGACAATGTCAACAGGCCAGGGAGGGCTATACTGTCCTGATCTCTCCTCTTGGCGATTTTGTTATATCTATGAAGAGATCTAGCTATCCTTTGATGCAGTTGGTGATGGTCCCTCTTCATAAACATGCCCTTAGAATGGTGTCTGAGAAAGTCCTAGAGATCATAGTGATAAACAGACTCTGAATTCAGCATCTATTGACTGGAGCTTTCTTTGGATTTCCATGCATTTTGGAAAAAAGTAATGTTTTAACTGGTTTTTACAGCCCTGGCCATCTGGAGGAGTCCTAAATAGGGCTCTGTGGGCCACGAGGTATTTTTTATTATCACATATAGAGATTTGAGGTGGTTTGACTTGTGCATCTCCATTTTGAGGGTTATTTATTGAAACTAACTCTCCCAAGTGATGTTCACAACCAACCTGTCAGAGGTTTCTCTCACACTCTTAACAATACAAAAAGCGCTAGAGAAACTAAACTTGGTAGTGTTGCATTCAGAAATTTCCTGAAGAGTTTTGTTTTGTTTCTGTACTGGGAATGGAACCCAGGGCTCTTATGCAAGCTAAGCAAGTGCTTTGCTAGTGATCCACACACCAAACCTCTGAGATTTTTATGCATATGAAATCAGGAATAGAGATCTTAAAATGAACAACCCAAAATGTGAATGCACTTCAAAGTAAGAAAAAAATGTAGTATTTACTTTCTAGAAATTATAAGGAAAAAAATCAAAAAGTGTTATGGAATGTTTGGATGTGAGTTTGTGATATGGATATGGTAGGTTTGGATGTATGGCGTCCCTCAAAATATTCCATTAACGTACGAATATTCAAAGGGGAAAATGATTAGATTGTGAGAGCTGTAACTTCATCAGTCCATTCTAGTTTGATGGACTGATTGGGTGCCATAGCAGGCAGGTCCGGTGTGGCTGGAGGAGGTGGGTCAACAGAGGTGTGACCTGCAGGGGTGCATCAACCCTGTGGCCCCTCCCCTCACTATCTAGGCTTCTCTATCCCACCACGAGCTGAGCAGCTTTCCTTTGCTGGGTCTCTCCTCCAAGATGTGCCACCTCACCTTGGGCCATACCAATGGAGTCAGCCATCTATCGACTGAGACCCAAATAAATTTTTTCTGTTTCAGTTGTTCTTTGGGGAGTTTTGGTCACAGTGATGCAGAAACTGACTAAAACAAGAAGCATTCTAGGTCACGGATTCATTGTGTTGAGGTTGATTTACATACTTGAAAAAAAATGTTCACAAACCTTATATTTCTAAACTGTTCTCTCTATTTTTGGACATTGATTTTGGAGTGTGTATGTGTGTGTGTGTGTGTGTGTGTGTAAAGTAGATTTCTAATAGTGAACACCCCAATTCATAACATCACAAGTATAGAAGATAAGGATTTTATTTACACTGCTTTGAATGGTGCCTATTGTCCTCTGAAAAAATTACTCTCAAATACAAAATCAACATAAAGAAAATGGGACTGATAAGAAAATGGAAATCTTCATATCTAAAATAGATTACAGGTCAACTATAAATAGATTCCACAAGAATTATAAATATGATATCGATAATAAGGAATGACAGAAATATTAATATAAAGAAATCATCATGGATCAAAGATAAAGGTACTAAGTATAATGCTGGCTCTTACTAGAAAGTGGTTCTGTTATGATTGCTTGGATATGAACTGATTTGAGCTTCCCATTATTTTTCTGTTTGGCCAATTTCCAGCAGTCTTGGAGGAGCAGCTCAAGAGAAGTAAATTCTATTGTATCATGGTTGGAAAGGTGCCCAGTAAGTAACAAGCTTTTTGATACAGAGAGAATCAGCTTCTCTCTGTTTTATGTTTTGTCTTGTCCCTAATCCCAAACTTCAAGAAAATATAAATTCTGCTATTAATTGAAATACAAAATTCAAAACCATATTTGTTTCCACAAATATCACCACAATTTTAAACTGCTAAGATATCAACTTATTCTTTTTCACCTTTCACTCTTCTTTGTCTTATGCTATCTAGTTATTATCCTAAATAATAAAATATGTATTTTTAAATTTTGTTTGAATGATATCTGAGTTATATATAATTTATTCTATAAGACACAATCAAACTTCTTTGTAAGCTTCCATTTTTGTGAGCAATATATAGTTGATCCTACTAGTGAAAAATTTTTAACTTTCCACTGAATATTTTGGCAGAATTATTTTTATGGATATTGCTAATAGGAAAAAATACTGATCTATGGAAATAAGTATTAAGGTTCCTCAAAAGACTAGACATGGAACAACTATATAATCCAGTATTTATAGTAAAGAATTAACATCGTCATGCTACAGAAATACATGCCCACCCATGTTTATAGTAGCATGATTCACAGTAGCCAAAACTATGGAACCAGCTTAGGTGACCATCAAAAGGTAAATGGATTAATAAAACGGAACACACACGCACGCACACACATATATTTAGACATAAGGAAGGATGAAATTATGTCATTTGCTGGAAAGTGGATGGAAATTGAGAATATTATATTAAGAGAAATAAACCAAATTCAGAAAGTCAAGGAAACTAGAGAATAAAAGGGAAAAGAAAGGTGGGGGAATCTCATAAAAATCAGAGGGAGATCAGTAGATAAGAGAAAAGGGACGAGAAGGAGATAGGAGAGGAGGGAAAGAAAAAATACTGGGGAATGATAGTGGCCAAATTAAATTGTTTTCCTCTTTGCATGTATAGGTAATGAATCCCAGCACAACTATAATGCACTGATAAAAAATATGAAGCAAAAGGAAAAAAATACCTTTTAAATCACCAAATTATAAATCCTTAACACATGGAATTGTGGGAAATAATTTGAGTCTGTCATCTCATTTGATACTAGAGTGATAGGTCTAATGCTTTTAAAATAAATATGTGTGTACATCATATATAATATGTATGATAAATTTTGTGTATACGTAATACACATGCTAACAGTGTTTCTATGCTGTTATAAATGCTAAACTTCTGGCTTTACTTGCACATTTCAAGTAGAACATAATTTAGATACAATTTTGTATTAATTGCATTGTACAATTTTGTATTAATTGCGTTGCATTTCTTTATAAGATGTTAGAAAGAATATATTGGTTATAGTCTTATGATGTGATAATATGCAGTCTGGAGTCCTAAAGGAAAAAAAAAACAAAAAAACTTCTATGGAGAAACTGGGTAGTAACTCTATTTGAGGAAAGTATGGTAAAAATGTTTAAATACTTAAGAAAGGAAAACATTCAGAAGATCTCACAGTTTCACGTCAGTTCTGCTCTTTTTGCTCTAGTTTATCTACTTTCTAGTGGCAATTTCATAAATTAGTTTTGAATAATTTGTTACAAGGCAATTTATTATATTCAAAAAGAACCTTCATGAAAAGATGTGCTTCATCTTCTATTTCACTCAAAATAACGTTTTTTTCCCCTTTCTCATTTAAATTTTCAGCTTCATACAGTCATCACGCTTGACTTCATGTTACCTCTTGAAGTGCTTTATGATCACATAATTGGGAACAAGGAGGAACTAAATGCACCTAAGCAGAAATGGCTGCTGCTCACCAGCTACCTAATTATTGTCAGGAAAGCTAAAAATGTAGAATGTCTGTCAACTTTCAAAGCAGCACACATGGAGAGCAGCGGTGGGGAAGATGGAAATCGCAGCTGGAGGTAATGATGACTCTGAATGTCTTGCTACAGCAAACATAGCATTTGGCAATTCATGAACGTTCCTTTTAAATGTTCAGAACTCTTTGCAAAACAAACCATACATTAACTAAAACACCGATGACTGAACTGCCTACACACAAAGCCAAACATAATTTGGGGGAAGGTTATTTCTATGCAATTTCAGAAAGAAAGAACCATGAATCTTTTCCTTCAGAAACTGACTTGGATGACAAGGAAGTTTGAGATTAAATAATACAGAGACTTTTGCTTCTCTAACATCTAATATGCAGAGCCATGCCCCATAATTCTGGTTTGTTATTTTTAAAAATTTAAGGACAATGTCTACCCAAGTGATTTTTAAAGTGTAGCTATCCATTGTTAAATCATTCATAGTACATGAGCTTTACTTTCTAGCATTGTTTTGTTTTTTAAAAACGAATAGAACAAATTATGTTCCATGCTTTTATAATTATGTCAAAACACATTCTATTGTCATGTGTAACTAAAAAGAACAAATAGAATGTATTCTATACAAAATAAAAAATTAATCATATTATTCCCTTGATTAAAGTCATTTAAAATCTACTCTTAGCTTTCAGAATAAAATCTAAACATCTCACTTAAAATAAATCAATCACCCCCTGGGTTTTCTCCCCAGCACATGGCACCCAAATCCATTCATTAAAATTCCCTCTGGGATATTAAGCCCCTCTTTCGGGAGGAGTAATGGCCTCTCTGGCCCCTTTAGCATGGAGGAAAGTGTTCTCACATTGGTCCCTGCCCACATGCTCCTTCTCTGTCCAGTGACCACCATGAGCTGCTGTTCCCTGTAGTGTTGGCTGTCCCACTGTTTCCCTGGAACAGAGAGAGGCATCTCCTGATTTAGCAGTAACTGAAGGATACAGATGGACAGATGGACAAACCACACTATTTGTTTGTTTGTTTGTTTACTATGACCCTTGGGAAGTAGTCAACAAAATCTTTTTAAAGTGGATGAATAAGTAACCTTGTTTCCCCAAAAAATATCACCATGCAACACTGCTGGGCTTCATTGAAGAAGTATTGTGAAGTTTTGGCCTTTGTTCTTTTGAAAGCCTCTTTCCAAGAATAGTACTAGGGCCTCATTGCCGGAGAAATGGGGTTCCATTGCAAAGCCCTCTACCATTGTAGACAAAATCTGCATTGTTGGGAAAAAACTGCTTTTGTGTCCCAGAGGAAAGATTATCTGCAAAAAAGGGCTGAAGGTGATAGTTACTTTGAGATCATCACCTCTCGCCTTTCTCCTAGTTGTGTTTTTCTTTTTCCTCACAGAAACAATTTTGTAACAATAAATATCATTTTTTAAAATGTTCATTTTAATTGTTTGCAATCCTGGTAATATTGTTAAGAAAATGAGAGTAGAGGAGAATAAGGGGACAATAAAATGTATTGAGTATCTCTGTATTAAAAACAGTTATCCCTGGCAGACACAGAGGTCCCTATTCACGAAAAATAAATAAAATTATAAAAAGTGACTTGTACAGATTCTCAAGCTGAGGACTGACAGAGGTAGGATTGGAAGTCAGGAGTCTCTTACTCTAACCAGCATTTTTTTCATGATTCAGCACTTCTTTAAAATCCTGAAGGAGTGAGAAAAGCGGAAGTCATTCAGTGAATGTGCCTTTGCACAGAATCTGTGGGAAATATGGAAGACGGTTTTTGAAGAATGGATATCTGAAGGACTTAACAGGGGAGGGTTGGTGCTTTCCTGGTGGTTGCAAACTGAGAAGTTGTGAATATTGTTCTGGTCAGCTGATTTTCCACTGAAATTATATGCAGAGGTCTTTGAAGTGTGGCTTCCTGGTGTCAGTTGGAATGGTAAAACTCAGTTACATTACCCATTTTATGGAGCTGTAATGAGCTATTAAAACACATTTGAGGGAGTAATATGAAAAGTCCAAATAATCATTAAAGTACCATTCTAATATTTTTGTGCTAGTTTGGAAGGCTACAAATCAAAGGTTTTTCAGGTTTCAACACCTCTCAGAATACATATATAAGATTCTGGGGGCTGGGATTGTGGCTCAGCGGTAGAGCGCTCACCTAGCACAGGCGCGACCAGGGTTCTATTGTCAGCACCATATAAAAAGAAAGGCAGTGTGTTGTGTCCATCTACACAAAAGAATCTCTCTCTCTCTCTCTCTTTAAAAAAAAAAGATTCTGGAAATCATCTGAAGTTAATATTCTCCATGTATTCTAAGGATAACATTTCTTTGAGATACAAGTACATGTTATAAGTTGCACAGTCGAATATATTTGGGAAGCATAGAGTTAAACACAGTTAACAGAGGAAAAACTTAAATGTGCTAATGTACCCTTTGAAGCTGCAAGGGGTAGGAAGCAATGTTTACCAGAATTCTTTGACCCTGGACCCTTGAAACTGAAAGAATCACTGAAGATATTAGTGTCTTCCAAAGTCAACAGTACTTTAGTCACACATTCAAAACATTATACTCTCAACAAAGAGGTGGTTATCCCTTAGAAATACCATGACCTCTCTTCCCACCAGTCAATTTACGGATGAATATTTTTCTGTACAAATACTGAATGTTGCAAGACTTGTTCTAAATAGCTTTTTGTAATTTCCTGACTAATGATGACAAAGTCCACCTTCCCCTCGGCTTCTGAGTGTTGAGTCTTTTTTACAGACCATAGGCAGAGGTTTAAGATTGGAATTAACCTATGGAAGAGTTCTGATTCTGATTCATCAGGAACTGGAATGTGAGTTCTCTATTCTCCACTACCCTTTGCCCTCTGTAATACAGGTCTTAAAAATGGCAGCATCTTTTACAAAATTCTGACAATAGCATCCTTATTTTTTTTTAACAACACCACTCTAGAATCTACAGAATCTATCTTGAGAAATGCCTCCAGATTCCAATAACACTTCTTTATTCAGATGTCAAAAACATGACCAAAGCATGAGTCATTTGTTCAAAGTAAACAATGCCTTTCTGCTGAGGAGTAGTTGTCACTTTGAAAGGAGAACCCTCCATTTGTTTAAAATCACACTCACAAAAATTAATCTCACAACTTAAAGGAGAAAGTGAGTCTACCACTCAAAGGCTGAAGTCATTTACATTGATGGGCTGCATATACTCCAACTGAAATTTACCAAAATATGAGTTTCTAAGCTGGAAAAGGAAAGACATGTCTCTGGAGGGATCTGGGAAGAATTTTCTTTTTCCATACAGTTCTCCAAAAGTTCTACCATATATATATCTCCAAAAAAACAACAAAAAAAATGAGGTTGATTGTATGTTGAACAGATTCATGAAGAAATGTGAAATGAGCACTGTCAGGGACTTTGGAGGCATCTGTTTGTGGGTTGGTCACAGGTCCCTGCAGATCTGCAAGGGAAGGCTTCATTTCCAACACCATGTCCACTAGTCACACTGCTTTCTTGAACTTTCCTCTTACTGACCAAAGCGGTATTACAATCACAGTCAGGGAAAGAGGTTAAATTGATTTTCTTCTGTGGATTGAAAATACACACACTTTTGCATTCTATCAGCATCTTTTAAAAATTTTTCTTGTGCAGTACAGTTATGAAATATCTCGCAAACTACAGGATTTTTTTGATAATTCACAACTGAAGATTTCTTTCTTTTAGAAAATAGGACAGTACTGAGATGAGAAGGAAGTCAGTGAATTTTCGTGCAGTTGGTTTTCATGAAATACTTAGGTTTGTTTATATGTAGAGATTTATACAGCAAAATTTTCAGAAAATGGTATTTTTTTTCAGGGAATATTTAAATCAGTTTTTTTCACTGCTGTGACCAAAAAGCTGACAATAATAATTAATGATAATAAAAAAAATTTATTTGGAGGTTCATGGTTTCAGAGGTCTCAGTTCATAGACAGCTGGCTCCTTTCCTCACAGCCTGAGATGAAGAAGATCACCATGGCTGAAGGGTGTGGTAGAAGAAAGCACCTCCAGATCTGGAACCAGGAAGCAGAGAGAGAGAGCTTCCCTCACCATGGACAAAATATAAGCCCCAAGGGCATGTCCCTATCTATGGTCCTCCCCCAGCCACACCCTACCTGCCTACAGTTACCTCCCAGTGAATCCCTATGACTGAATTAATACACTGATTAGGTTAAGGCTCTCATAAACCAGTCATTGCACCCCTGAACTTGCTTTCATTGTCTTACACATGAGCTTTTGGGGGACACTTAATTTCAAAGTCATAACAGGGACAATTTTGACCCCACACCTCTTCCTCCAGTTTGAGCAGTGATGGATGGTCAGTATGGGTGCAGCTTCCACAAGGTTGGACATAGTCCCTAATCAATTGGAACTTGAGGCTTCCCACCTGCTATCTCCCTTTGCTGGCTGATTATTTATTGCCATTACCTTCTCCTACTGTCAATTTCTTCTGCAGCTGAGCATTGTCAACATTGAGCTCTGAGGCAGAGCTACCAACTGAATCAGCTCTGGTGCTGTGGTGGGGCCTCTGGGGGCAGAGTTTACTTCTCTAATCTGGGTGCTTACTGCAGGCTGTGCTGAGCTATCCATCCAGGACTGCTGCCCCTCCCCCAGGACCTACCCTTGCTCCCCCAGGACCTACCCTTGCACCCCCAGCCAAAGCTTTCTCTCTTGTGCTGCTAACATCCCAGTTTCCTAGAGCCCTGCCCTGATGCCTCCTTTTTAGTCTTCTATATTCACGATCCCCTTTATCTCATGTGTTTGTTCATTCTTAATCCACTTATTGATTTTGAGGCAGAGGAAGTGCCATGCTTATTTATTTTATTTTATTTTTCAAATTAATACAGGTTCTTGTAAATTGGCCCAGGCTGGCCTCCAACTTGCAATCCTCCCTCCTCAACTTTCTGAGTAGCCGGGGTTCACAGGAGCATGCCCCTACCCACAGCTAGATAATGTTTACTGAGAAGTTGTTATGTTCTATAGGCTGTTTCAGGCTAAGCAATTTTAGAGAAAAAGCAAAACTAATTTTTGA